AATTGCTTTCTATTTCTTAATTGCTTGTGCATATCCTTCCTGGCATAATAGAAAATAGTGCTAATGTTACTTTCGTACTGGGGGAATGAGCTTTTTTAGGTTGTGTGCAAAAAAAAAAAGGGTTATGTTGAATGTTTAGATTTTTCCTCTGCATGCTATACATACATTGTTGGAACTATAGGAACCTTCATAATGTATGAATAAAAATAAACTATTTGAACTTTACTGCATGGTGTTAAAGCTTCCGTTGAAAAAAAAATCTGAATTTCAGATCTGATTGTACTAAAATTATTTGATGCTTTTATGTATAATTAAATACCTGTAACAATATTTGCCCATTTTTCTCAGTGACAGTTCATTTAACAAACAAGTAACATCAGATTCAACGTTTATAGGGATAACCATTTCCCAAATTAATTTTTTTTTCGTAGACATGTTAACTATCCTGTATTAGTGAATAGGAACAGTAAGATCAAGACACATTAAGCTGTAATTTTATGGAAGTTTTTGGGGAAAACTTTATTTGGCCAGCTTTATTCTTAGTTCCATGGTAACACCAATTTTATTTTAAGCATAGCATTTTTTCTAATTTTGCAATCTTGACTTATTGCACATAAAAGGGAAAGTTCCATCTGAAAGATCATCTACTATAAACATCAGGGAATAATGAATTCAGGATTGAATACATGTACTTGTCCATGCCTACTTCAACACAGAATCATATATTTTTTAAAAACAGTAACTTAGATCGAAAGAGCCTCATGTATAATTTAAGAGTTGCCTTGAATCTAAAAATTGGGTTTTCCCTGTACTATTTCTGAAGCTATTACAAAACATGAGGGGCTGTAACTAAGAACTGACACCATACATACAATATGTAAGTCAGATACTCAACAGTCTGATTTGCAAATTGGCATTAAGCTTGAATATAAGATTTTCAATCTCCATTTCCATAGTGAACTGAACTGCAAGGGGCACCAATGGGATCACCGCTCTCCCCAGTTATTGCCAATCTGTTCATGGAGGGATTAGAAATTAAGGCGTTGGAACAAACTACTTATAAATCAAAATTATGGCTCAGATATGTAGATGATACGTTTGAGATTTGGCCCCATGGAAAAGACAAGCTAGACAATTTTCTCCAACGCGCAGTTTGGAGAATCCAAAGCTTCGGGTAATTCAGTAGTTGAGTAGCCTACGCTGAGTGTGTTCCTTTAAATTTTTCTCTTCAGACACGCCCACTTGCTCAGCAGAGTCCCAGTTTAGTTCACTCAGTTGAGCCTGTGACACTGTCTGAATTTTTCTCTGGTTCTCTACTAAACTACTATTCCTGAAGCTTTGGATTCTTCTAAGTTTTTTTCTGCTTTTTTTGTGGAATTTTCCCTCTTCGTTTGATTGGCCAGGGGTGAGTTTGCCTGCTGCCTCAGGCAGGCTGTCCGGGACAGTTTTCCTTTCCTACGGGGTGCCTGGCCAATTATCTGAATCCCCGCTCCACTTAATAGCCGCTGGTGTGTGGGTAGGTTTCCCGGCCTGCTGGTAATAGCGCCCCCGCCTTTTTGGACTTTGTTTTTGAACCTGAGCGGCTTGAGATTGTTGCCCTGCTCTCAGCGGCACTTTCTCATTAAATTTGAACTGGCCGTTGGCGTTTGGATCACTTCTGAGTGGTCGCGCGCCTGAGGAGCACAGGGACAGCACCGCAACCTCTCCTTGCCGATCCTTCGATCGTTAGCCGCAATTTGACAGCGCAAGCGGTTTTTCCCTGCTCCGATCGTTCCACGCAGCGCTGGAAGTACTTCTGAGGCTTCTGTATGCTTAGTGTCGTTGGTTCCTCTCATCGACCTCTCGTTTCTGGGCGGCGGCGCTTGGAGATTTTGACACTTTCGCGCCATTTTCGCCCACCTCAGCACTCAGAGCTGCCGTTAGTAACAGCTTGCGCCAAATTGCCTGCTCCCCCGACGAGCCTCAATCAAATCCCCTTCCGAGCCTGACAGTTCGCCTCCATCTGCAGGGGAGATAATAAGGAAGGGAACAACTGGCACGCAAATCAACTGTTCTTCTGCAGCCCTCGCCTAGCGCCATTCCTTCCACCCTCGGTGCAAGGAAGTCAACGGCTGCCATTTTCTGCCCAGCAACTGCCTTCGTGCATGCACAATTGGCTGCTGGGAGCCGAGAGCTTTTCTGCTAGCAATATCAGGCGTCAATGACATTGCCTCCGTGGTGAAACTGTCAGAGTTCCGTTCCTGAAGCTCTGGGATTCCTCCAGGAGGGCCTCGATAAGCACCTCGCTCCTAACACTCTTCGTCGCCAGGTTGCAGCACTAAGTACTGTTCTCTCTACTTCTGCAAATCTTCCTCTCTCGCAGGACCCTACGATTCGCGCCTTTCTACGAGGTGCAGCCAACCTGTGCCCACCAGTTATCCATCGCTATCCGTCCTGGGACCTGACCTTGGTTCTTCAGGCCCTCATGCATCCTCCATTCGAGCCTCTCGCTTCCATCAGCCTCCGGTTTCTGACACTCAAGGTGGCGTTCCTGGTCGCAGTTACTTCGGCTCGCCGAATATCTGAACTTGCGGCCTTGTCAGTGAGAAGCGACCTCTGCGTTTTTCACACGAATCGTGTAGTACTGAGACTAGACCCCTCATTTCTACCTAAAGTAAATTCCTCCTTCCATCGGGCCCAGGAATTGATCCTCCCGGACTTCTGCCCGGAGCCTCGACACCCTCGGGAAGCAAACTGGCACCTCTTAGATGTCCGCCGGGCTCCGTGTAGATATATTAAACGAACGGAGCATTTCCGAAAATCTGAATCGCTCTTCATTTCCTTTCTGCCCGCCTCCATGGGCCGGAAGGTGTCTTCTACAACAATTGGAAGATGGATCAAGTCTTGCATCTCCCGGGCTTATTCAGCTCGGAACAAACCACTTCCACAGAGAATCCTTCCTCACTCCACCAGAAGCGCCGCCACCATGGCCGCCTGGGCCACCAATGTGTCCGTCTCCGACATCTGCAGGGCGGCTACCTGGTCATCCTTAAATCCCTTTATCCGGCACTACAAAGTGGACGCCTTTGCCTCGGCGGAGGCGTCTTTTGGTCGCCGTGTGCTCCAAGCTGTATGCAACTCTTCAGACGACGTGCAGCAGCCAGTCTCCCCCCCTGTCTGAACTTGCTTGGGTACATCCCGAAGCTTTGGATTCTCCAAGCTGCGCGTTGGAGAATGGACGTTGCTTACCTGAACGTCCCTTCTCGATGCGCAGCTGGAGAATCCAATCCACCCTGCTTGGCTGCTGCTGATCCTTTCCTTACGCTCTACTGCTCCTTACTTCGTGAACAAAACTGGGACTCTGCTGAGCAAGTGGGCGTGTCTGAAGAGAAAAATTTAAAGGAACACACTCAGTGTAGGCTACTCAACTACTGAATTACCCGAAGCTTTGGATTCTCCAGCTGCGCGTCGAGAAGGGACGTTCAGGTAAGCAACGTCTGTTCTAGCACATTTGAATAACATGCATCCGAAGATACAATTCACTATGGAAATGGAGATTGAAAATCAACTCCCATTCTTAGATGTATTAATATATAAGAGAACTGATGGCACCCTAGGACATAGTGTCTACCAAAAGAAGACACACAAAAATAGATACCTAAACGCACACTCTCACCATCATCCCTCACAAATAAATTCAGTAGCAAAAACTTTATAATCACTAGAACTAAACGTCTAGCAGATGAGGCACATGTACAAACAGAGCTTCAGACTCTCATAGAGGTATTAATAGCTAATGGGTTCCACGAAAATAAAATTAAAAGTATAATTCGACAAGGGATATCAGGACAGAGAGAAACCCAAGAAGAAGAACAAAAGATGGGAAAAGCCATCCTGCCCTATATAAAAGGAACCACCGATAAAATTAGCAAGATACTACAGAAACAAAAAATAAAAACAGTGTTCTGCACAGATAGAAAAATATCAATGATGTTGAGAAACCCCAAGGATAAAATTGAGCTGGAAAATCAAGGAATATACGAAATACCATGTACCTCCTGTCAGTCATCTTATATTGGACAGATGAATAGACAAATAAGAGTGCATTTAGAACATAAAAATGCAGTGAAAAAGGAAGAGCAAACTTCTTTGGTACAACACATGAAGGCCACGGGACATAATATAGATTTCAACAAGGCTAGAACAGTGGTAAAAGAGGAACATCTTAATAAGAGAATAATTAGGGAGGCTATCGAAATTGAAAAGAGGCCGCACAATATGAATAGACGAGATGACACCTCTAGGTTATCAAGTATTTGGAAACCTGCACTGAGGGAAACTCGAATTTTAACATCAGAGGATAGGCAGAGATCCCAACAGGCAACCAGTGGTGTTGTAATGCATACAAGAACCCTTTCCTCTTTGCAGTTGATAGTTAGCAATAGGGAGAGAGACAGAACCAAGCCAGAAGATATGCTAAGATCTCAACAGGCAACCAGTGGTGCTGTGATGCCTACTGGAATTCTTACCTCTTTGCAGTTGACAGTTGGTAATAGGGAGCCAGAGAAAACTGGATCGTTAACAAGCATTCAGGCTGCAGCTAGTATAATGAAGCATGACCCACAGCTTCTAAACTGATAATAAAGGCCAGAAGATGACAAGGTAGAGGACTTGTCGAAACGTTGCCTAATCTTAAAGTGTTGGTTAGGATTTCAGCCAGAGTTTTTGAAAGACCTTAAAAAGGTTTTTGTTTGGGAATTTAGCAGGGTGGATTTGATTTAAATCAAACTGATTTAAATCACGATTTAAATCACTTGTCAGTAAGGCTTGATTTAAATCATAGTTTTCTACATAAAGACTAATTCTTGCTGGTATAACTTTAATAGGCAAGTAGATGAAGATTTTTAGAATAACAACTTTTCATATTAGTTTTTTTATCCTGTTTAATAGGTTAATCATTCATATTTGGACAACTTTTCTGTTGTATTTAGGAAGGAGAAAAATAATCATTACCTTAATAATAACAATTTAAATAGATTTATTCAACTGAAACAATAACACTACAGCATATTTTATTTGCTTAAACAAACATCCATGTTTGTTAACTAATTTGGCTAAACAATATATACATATTTTAAGAAACTGTCAGCCCAGCCTACACATGAAAAACTTAAATACTGTCTTCTGTAGCTCACTCGTCATCTTCATCTTCTTCTTTGTTCATAATCTGGAAAAGAAAAACAAGCTTTCCTGCTTTATCGGGTCCCAAACGATTTCTCAATTTAGAATGAATGAGTCCAAAGGAAGAGAATATTCTTTCAACGCCTGCAGAAGCTACTGCTGTTAAAAGTGAAATCATTACTTGAACAGTCTCTAAATCCAAGCGCTTAAGTGACTTAAACCAGTTCACTGGTGTGACTTTCTTTAAAATATCTTCAGCAAACATATATTTCTTGAATGGTTCCCCCTTAGCTTTGAAGTTTATTATAGTTGGCATTACAGATGGATGATTGCTGGATACCCATGTCATAGCTAACTCCTCTTCCTCAGCACTTAAGTTTTGACCCTGATACTGGATATTGACAATATTTGCCAAAAAATGAGCTGGAGACAGTACTTGTCCCATTCATTTTTTTAATGCTTGTAATTTAATTCTGTCCATGTGTAGTTCTGTTTTTAAGTGTTCACTCAGTTCCTTCCAAATTTCAACAGCATCAGCAATAAAACAGCTATTTTTCTGTATTTTGTTTAAAGCTTCAGAGATGGGTTTCAGGATGCTCAGCATATGTTCAACATTTCTCTTAAGCCCAATGTTGAGGATTTTGGCCGTGACAGTGCCATCTATTTTATCTCGATTTTCTTCACAAACTGTCATCACAATAGACAGTTCTTGATATACTGCTCAAAACAGTCCACCAGAGTTCCATCTAACATCTTGTGGGAGCGTCAGCTTGGTTCCACCCATCCTTTTCAGAGCTGCTGCAGCAAAATGATTGTTATGGAAGTATTTAGCAATTTCAACAACATTAGTCTTTATTTCTGGAACACTTAAGTCTTTGGCTAAGAGGTGCAGCAAATGAGCACTGCAACCATGTTATTAGCTTTGTATTCCCTTCCTGCTCTTTCTTCTCATCTTGGATACATTTGCAGCATTGTCTGTGACCAAACTGCGTACTAGACATTTGAATTTTTGTTCACATGTTATTATAGCTTTTACTGCCACTTGTAAGTATTCTGCTGTGTGTGCATTTCCTGACGTATCAATTGTTTGTGCAAGGAAGACTTTCCCTTCTTCTGTTGTTATACAAGCACATACAATAGGATCATTGTGGATGTTACTCCACCCATCAATACTTAGGTTAACAATTCTACCCTCCAGAGCTGTTGCACATTGCTCCATTTCTCTGTCATACACTTTATCCAGCAGTTTCCCTGCAACATCTGCTCTGCTGGGTGGACTGTATCCTGGTCTCAGTGACTGAACCATATTAATGAAATGTGGGTTCTCAGTCAGATGGAAAGAAGAGTTCGTTGCATAAACAAACTGGGCAATTTTTTCATCAATTAACTCTTTTTCTAATCTGCTAATTTTTATCACAAACTTATCTATGATGGTTCCAGGAGGGAAGGGTTTTTCCTTTCTTTTAGGTGATAATGATATGTGGCTGTGGGTATCTGATGATGATGATGCTAATGAAGCACTATCCTGGATGGATAACTCTGAAACTGTAGGAGGATAGTGATCCTGAAGGTGGATAGTTTCCAGAATCCATGAATTCCCCTAAACAAAAAAGTCAATGCTGTTATTTTATTGTTTATACAATTTCTGCTTATTGTACCCAGCACTGCCCCAAAAGGAATATTTGCTTTTCTTCATAACTGTACCAAATAACAGTAACATGCAGTAATAATAAAAAATATAATTTTGCTCAAACATGACAGTTCAAGGCAGTCTTTAGAAATATGATTCAATAAAAATGTTTACCAACCTGAAGATCCTGCCTGTTCAAATGTGTTTCTTTGGTCATCTTCATCACAGCACTTCTCATGATGTTGCCTCATTCGGGCCACCAGGCCTTGCATTTCTTTGTTGCAGTGTTTGCAGTTTGCACGCATGCCTGCCTTACCGATAGTTAAAGGAACTTCATTAAAATATTGTCAAATTGGGTCTCTTTTATGGCCTGCTGCCATTATAGGTTTTTTCCTCCAAGGAAAGAATGTGATAAACCTCAGGTCATACAAAAAGATCCAAAGACTTGTCTGTCTCTGGCTGTGCAGTATTGTGCTCAGAAAGTTTCACTTTCATTTTGTACTGCTTGTCTGCTTGCCCCTTCCTCCTCACACTTAGTTTCACTTTCTTCTTGTGCAGATCTATTCCACTCCAATCAATCAGAAAAATATTGTTTCTATTCTATTCACTGAACTTCTTGAAACTTAGCACTGAAAGGGTTGATTCTGTATTCATAGGTTTGTAGAACAATAGGATTAAGGTCTTTTTCTCAACTCTGTTCATGTTATAACATTTTTGCTGTGAAGAAGAGGCATGTGATCTCTGCTGAGTCAAATTCAGTTTTGAGAACTGCAAAAGTAAACCAAGCATCTGTGATATTATCTTGTAGGCAGAGAAACTGCCCAATAATCTTACAAAAACCTCTGGAAGAGCATGACATTGTGAATGGATTAATGGAATTTATTTACCAAAAAAATTAAACATATAGAGACTTATTCTACATAATTAAACTAATCTTTATTTCATGATGGAATAACCTTTGGATGGTAATATATTTTCCTCAAAAAGCATTTTATTTAAAAAAATCCGATTTAAATAAAAAAAAAATCGATTTTAATCAAAAAATTTTTTATCCACCCTGGAATTTAGAGGATTCTGAGCCCTGCTTTAGATAGAAAGGCAGGTAGGTAACTCTGGGTCAATTCCACCCTCACAACTCTTCCAGAAGAGTCAAGCTACTTCCCAAAATGTCTGCCAACAAAACAGCAAAGACTCGTTCAGGCAATTGTCAGGAGTCAAGACTAATTTGAAGGTGTAAGATTCCCCTCCCCTCCATTTTTGCTTTAGATTTCTTTGTTGCCCTCTCAGGTCTAGTTTGCATTCTGTCTATGCTATAGAATTATAAAGGCAGATTGGGGCTGCGGTGGCTCACATAAGACGCTGGGCCTGCACACTGCTGAGGTCGGCAGCTCAATTCCTGTGAGCAAATAAACTGCGTAGGGACAAGAAATCCTCTCCCGATTTCCTACCAGCATTCAGGCGTCCTGCGGGTAAAGATGATACCGCCCCAAAAAATTCCTTTCAGAGGCAGCCAGCCACCTCGGTGATCCCTGGCTAACATGCCATACGCTAAAAAAATAGTAACGGCAGGTGGCCCTAATGCAAAAGCAACTAACTAGGATCTACACATCTCCCTCTGTAATGCCAACAATATTGGAAAAAATCTTATTTCTCTCTCCTTCCAGGGAGGTTATCAACATTGTAGCAGCTTCCTCCCTCCTTCATCTGAAAAGTTCCTCAATAAGAGGGGAAAACATTTGTGATTGGAAACATTTGATCAACTCATTTTAACATCTGGATAGATGTAGTTAGATCCTTGTTTGCTAGTTTAGTAAACTTAACTATAAATATATTTGTCTGCTAAATACAAGCAGCCCCATTCTTTTTTTTTAGAATAGCCCCTTCCCCAGAAATCTGTTACATTTCATATCTTAATATTTTAAGAGTTGGGAATTTCTGATAAGTACAATGCATCCAATAGTGACTTGCAGCATACTATCCATAGCTGCTGTATTCGGTTAACCTTGTATCCATTCAATTCAAAAACTGACATATTAATCATGTTAGACAGAAGGAAATTCAAGTACCAGTTTTTATTGGACATAACTTCATTTAGAACACTTGATAATAGATACTTGCTTGAGAACATTGCTGTTGGAACTGAAAATTGCTATCAGTTTACTAGGGATGTGAAAAATATTCCATGCATGGAGCTGCTAGTTTTGAGTGGCCTAGGCATAAATTAATTCAGAAAGAATTGTTTTGGGGCATTGGAGAAAGTGGAAAACCCAGGGATATTGGTGGCAACCAAAAACTAAGAAAGTGCAAATATCAGGAATGAGTAGTTCAGGTGGGTATTTCCACTGGAAGCTAAAGATGTGGCAGTAGCTAGCGGGAAGTAGGGCAAGGGAGACATTGGAAAATATTGGTAGCCTGCCACAAGCCAGGAGGGAAAAGAGAGGCCCGGCATATCAGCCTTGCCCAACTCACCCTTAAAATCCTGAATTTTGTTTCAGCCCAAACTGGACAAACAAAATATTCCAAATTTTGGTGTGGCTGAAATGCCACCCACTTGAAATGGTTTAGCAGAGCTTCTGAAACACAATGTGTTTGTTTTGGGTTTTAAAGAAAAGCACACTTTCTTGTAAACAGTATTCTGACATTGCTTCCTTCAAGTGTTTTCCAGTATCTTGTGTAGAAGCGTGTGACTTCAAAAACCATGGTCTTAAAATCTTTCTGCTGCTCTGCTTGCTACTGCTCTAATATTGCCATAAACTTTGGATGGAGGACTTCCTGTAGAAGAAAACAGTGTATTAATACAACTGATTTATAGTTAATGATACAATATATTTTTAAAAATACAGCAAAAGGTCTACAGTTATAATTAAACTATTGATTTAAAAATAGAATTTTAGTTCTCAATGCAAGCTCTTATAAGGCTGCTGTGTCATACATTCTTCTGAGGGAGAATGGGTGTTCTAAAATATACAAATTGGTACAGTTTAGGCCTTTTTCTAACTAGAATACCCCTAAATGAAAATATACTAGTTTACATTAAATACCGAATGCTATATATTTAGGTTAGAATTTAGATGGCAGATGCAGAACAAGGTAACAATGAAGCCCACTAATGAGCCATCAGTTTGATATGAAAAAAAAAACAAACTTTTAATTTCTTGCTCCAAAAATGCCTTCCAGTGTGACATATATGGAATGCAGCAATGTTGTGCCATCTCAGTTTTTCTGTTTGATTACCCATCCTTGAAAACTGAGTTGTATGCGGAAACAGCCTGTAGTTATGTCTCTTGATTCATTGATCACTATTTATAGTCCTTTATATTATCCCTTCCCCTCATAGAAATGTCAAGTTACATTTCTTTAACCAAAACCACTTCTTACTTGCAAATCTTTGCTCATTAACTGGCATATTCAAAATATGTTAACAAAAGGAATACAAGTTTTACCTAGAATGAGATTGCAAATGGCTGTCCGTGCCATTTTAATGTTCTGGAAAGATCCTAAAATATGAACTTTCCTGTAATTAAAATTAAAAGATCTCTTCACATATAAAGTTTAAGATACCGGACCTCTGAATTATTCTATTCACTATACAATCTTATATAGCACTTTATATTTTTATATAAAAGCAGCTCCAAGCTAAATTTATTTTCATAAGGACAAGTTTCAGCAACAGGATATGTCTTAATTGAGGCTCATTAATTCTTCAATATTTGCTTCTCTTATTGCATTATAATACAATTACCATTCTACTTTTAAATATAGTTAGACAACCCATGACTCTCTAGGTCATTTCTAAGATCTGTGTCAATGGCACAACTTTTAATGTACTTAAAAAGTTCTTAAAATTCAGAGATATTTAGAGATATATCTGCCTTGAAAGTAGCTCATGTTGAACTGTGTATCATAGTCAAACATCAGAAGTTGCTCACGGGAAATATTTTATGACATTTTGTATTATAGAATGCTTTATGATTATTTTTATCTCATGTTTTATAAAATTTGTCAAATTTCAATTCCATGGAAGTCATGGATCTGGATTTTGGATGTATTCTGTAAAAGTTAGCTAATTTGAGGTACCTTGACTCAAATACCATTGCCCTATGATGTTTCATCCAGTTAAAGGAGAGTTTTAGTAGTATATAGATACAGCTTCACATATAAGACACACACACCTGATTGTGATATTAAACAATTTGAAATAACGCTGATAAACCTTTTCTATTGCTACATATTTTTTTGTAATATGTTGACTGATGAAGGCTAGAAAGCTCAAATATTTTTGGAATCTCAGCCAATCAAATCCAGGCATTATCATTATATGAATAACAATGCAGCATGTCTACAGGATTCATCTGCCACAAGTGATGCACGCAACCATATCAATTTGTATATATACTACGTTCAGCCAGAAAATACACTGTAAAACAAGGGTCTCCAACCTTGGCAACTTTAAGACCTATAGACTTTAACTCCCAGAATTCCTCAGCCAGCAAAGCTGAGGAATTCTGGGAATTGAAGTCCACAGGTCTTAAAGTTGCCAAGGTTGGAGACCCCTGCTGTAAAGTCCTTAGGGAGATAGTTTAAAAACATGAAATATAAATATAAATGTTTTTGTGTTTTCAAGGCAGTATTTAAAAGATCATCTTAGTAGCGTCTTATTCCTGGGAATTTATCAGAAGGATCCAATAAATGGAAGATTCAGTTTTAATATATCCGGCACGTATAATATGCATGGCAAAATTATAAATGAGGTTCTGCAATTGCTTAACAAATATAGAGGGCTATTACACTAAAACCTGGAACTTTATTAGCCAAGATTCAAAATTTTAAAAATTGGGAACTCTATAACACTTACGAATCTGCAAGAACTATTCGCGTCCTTGTTACATTTTCAATAGTAAATTTGGTTTTTCCGCCTTTTCCAGCAATTCTTCCTATTGCTCTTGAAAGATGATCTCCTTTTAAAGGTTTGACTAAAAAGAAAACACTGTTTTAATTATTATTATTTCCCTGGGCCATTTGTCTATGTTGGAATCCAATGAATTGTGATTGCTAAATTTGAGTGTGACTTAGTTCACTTAACCATCAAGTGAGAGCCAGTTATTTTTTAAAAAATACATATTTCAAAAAGATTCACAAAGTTCTACCCCTTATTCCCCCCACATTTTAATGAGCTATGCTGATAAATAATAATATAAGAATTAAGATGACAGGATTCTACCATTTTCTCAACACTTGTCTTAGGTACAATAATGAAACAAGGTAATCCACAGAAATGAAACCCAAATCTTTGTTGATATAGAATGGGTGTCAAACTCGCGGCCCGTGGGCCAGATGCATCACGTGCTGGCTCTGCCCCTGCCCAGTTTAGCAAAGGGGAAAAAAGTCCCGATATGTCACATGATGCTGCCGTGATGATGCGAGTTTGACACACCTGATATAGGAAGTCTGCTAACAAGAAGTATATATGTATACTGGTTAGCGCAGCAGACTAAAGCACAGACTAAAACATCAGCTGCCTGCAATTACTGCAAGTAATTACTCAAGGTTGACTCAGCCTTCCATCCTTTCTAAGGTAGGTAAAATGAGGACCCAGATTGTGGGGGCAATAAGCTGACTTTGTATAAATATACAAAAGTATGAAGGCTATTGCTTAATGCATTGTAAGCCACCCTGAGTCTTCGGAGAAGGGCGGCATATAAATCAAATTACTACAACAGTAACCACAAATCATTATTTTAGTAACATAACAATATATCTCTAACAATGCTTTTGCTGTTCAATCTATATTAAAGATTCTCATGGTAACTCACCAGAAGGCCTAATAATGACAACACACAATTGTTCATCTTTTAAAATTTTAATGTATCTTTTGAAATCCACAAGACAAGTTAACAGTTACAAATGAAGGCTGGCAGTTTTAACAGAAATGGTTCAACTAAACCAAATTAATCACTGGGAAATGATATTTCAGACCAAACAATGTGAATACATGTTTCAAAATTATTTTCAGAGGTTATTTCAGATGTATTCCTATCAATAAACAACAGTTCTTAACTATATGCATCTCATATTCCCTAATACCCATTATTGTTCTGATCTTTTGATATACTGATTTTCATACTTACCATCTGTTACTTCAAATGATTCTAGAAAAAGCTCATCTAATCTGATTAATGCAAGTGCATCCTGAAAGAGAAAACACAGCAATGTTTTTTAAATAATAACTATGACTTTTAAAAATACAGCATCAAAAACAGTCACTAGTAAGTCACATAGCATATGGATTCTCTAGGTTTGCATTACCAAAACACAATAAAATAGACTAGAAATTTGAAATAATGGACAATAGTACTAAGTTCCCTAATATGCACACTTATACAAATACTTCAATGAATACATGCCACTACATACTACTACCACTACATACCACTCTGCAAGTCATCAATTGGCAAGAAATTACCTGCCAATTAAAATGTTCTTATCCCATGGGTTTTACCATCTCAAAATACTTTCCAGACTGTTTCCCAATTTATTTGCATATGTTCATGGTACACTTATCCAGGCAAAATAAAAGCAAGTTTTGACACTTTATATTGCATATAAAACCTTATCCACTGAGACATTTATTTATTTAGATAATTTATAATTTATATAACTACTGATATCACCTAGGTAATGTACGAAAGGATAAAAACCAGAAAAAAACAACACAAATTACAAATAAATGTAAACATTTTCTGTACAGATTCAGCAACTGGGATCACAAAATATTAAACCCCTCAGCTAATTATGCAAAAAGAAAAAAAGTCTTCCCCCGAACCCCTATGAAGACACTTCTTAGATCTTTTCATTTCAAGTACCATCAATATTCGTTCATTCAATATTCATAGAATGAAGTGAACTACAGTAGATGAGAACTTACCTCAACTTGAAATCCTAGTATAAAAGCTTTTACAAAATCAGCTGCTTTTGTCAAAGCACCTATGTCTTTTGTTTCTTTACAAGTCTAGAAAATAAAATAAGTCTTAAAATTTAGGAAGTGATCCTTGGGAAGATTCATAAAATATTACATGAAACACCAAAATCAACTCTCCTAAATATCCACTTCTAAATATTAATTTATAAGCTTCTATTAACACCATATACTACTGCTTCTACTATATAAGATTATTTTGACAGTGCTAATGAATGAATTTAAAAAATCTCCAAATCTTTATGGGAAGAATTATTATAAACATATTCTACATTGTGGTTGCCTAAAATGAATTGATACATTAATTTCCAACCATTTGGAACTGACTTTTCTAACAACTCAGATCTAAAATGCTATTTTAACAAACCAGCAAGTCATGTCTATTTTCTGAGATTAATGGAACAAACTAATTATTAAAGTATTCTTTACAGATTCAAATATAGCTGCCAAGTATCACTGGGCCAAAATAACTAGTGAAGTTGTGAATCAACATATTGATCTACTCTTCCTCATTTATCAAGGATAAAAACAGAAGGGGGAAATTTTTGTTTATCCATGCCAGTAGCATCCAAGTATAATTGCAATATAATTTGCTACTATCAAATTTGCAACATGTTCTGGGTGGCAACCAGATAAAATGTTCTCTTTGTGAAAGATTTGCAGAAAGGTATAGGCTCCTATTTAAACAATACACATTTGCCTTTGTTGTTGTTTGTTGCAAAGTTGTATCCGACTCATCGCGACCCTATGGACAACTTCCCTCCAGGCCTTCCTGTCCTCTACCATCCCCTGAGACCATTTAAGCTCATGCCTACTGCTTCAGTGACTCCATCCAGCCACCTCATTCTCTGCCGTCCCATTCTTCTTTTGGCCTCAATCCGTTCCCAGCATTAGGCTCTTCTCCAGTGAGTCCTTCCTTCTCATTAAGTGGCCAAAATATTTGAGTTTCATCTTCAGGATCTGGCCTTCTAAAGAGCAGTCAGGGTTGATCTCCTCTAGGACTGGACCGGTTTGATCGCCTTGCAGCCCAAGGGACTCACAGGAGTCTTCTCCAGCACCATAGTTCAAAGGCCTCAATTCTTTGGCGCTCAGCTTTCCTTATGGTCCAACTTTCACAACCATACATTGCAACTGGGAAAACCATAGCCTTGACTATAAGCACTTTTGTTGGCAGGGTGAAATCTCTGCTACATTTGCCTTATCTATTTATATTTGAAGGATTATTTATTTCATTGGAATGCCTTCTAACATAATGTAGCATTGGATTATTTGGAACTTTTATTGACCAAAATAATGAGGTTTTCAAAACATTAAGGTGATAACTTGTTTTAACAAAATATTTCTAATGCTAAAAAAAAAATTAGGAGTGATTTTTTTTCCCAACAGCAGACACAAATATTAGACAATATTAATTTTTCAGAAATAGTAGACTTACTATTTACCTTTATCTCTACATTCCTTGTTTTTAAGTTAAATCTAATTTGAAGCTGCAAATGTTCTACAATTGGTGTAAAAATTTTCATCCAGTTCTCTTTTAAAGGAGTATATCTGTTTGCTGGTACAGGAATTTTTCTCAATTCATCTTTTCCACACTAGAAAACATAGTAACATCACAATATAAAATGTTCAGCAAATAAAATTATTGCATGTATTCAGTTTATGTCAGTTTACATATAATAAACTACAGAAAATGTAAGAGATGTAAATAAGTTTTTTTTCTAATATTAGGTATAACAGAGATTCTTGCGTTTAAAGTTCTACCATATTCAAAATTAGAGAGCTGTGTTAGTTTATGCTAGTATTAGTCTCTATTATTCTGACTGCGTCAGACTCCTTCTGATTTTTATTATTAAAAACTGATGTCCATCTTATACAGATCTAATAAAACCCCCGATTTCTATATACAATTTGCATGATGAACTCAGTCACCCTATAACAGTATACTAAGGATTAAACAGAAATTTGTTAAGAGACGCTAAATCTGTGCAAAATGATTAAAAAATCCTTTGCTTCCAATCACAGGACGTTGCAGGTAACAACCAGCATTTTATCTTGCACCGGGAAACAAACTGGCCATCAGTTCAACTCACAAAGCAGAGGTGTCACCTGGGCACACTGAGGCAGGCTCATCACTACTTGTGCTGCTGCATTTTGGACCCGTTGAAAGGTTCCAAGAGGTTTTCAAAGGGCAGCCAGATGTAGAATGCATTGCAGTGCCTAAGTCATAAGATGCCTAGAACATGAATGACCACCTGAACCTCCATCCCACCCACCTACCCACCTCCATCCAAGGAAGGAAGAAGTCTACAGGAGCACAAGAATGGGATGCACCACCACCATCCTGGCTCTGCCACAGGTCATCGACAAGGGCGACCAAGACTTATCTCAGTGCTAAATCTTTGCCTGAAATCTGATCTGGATTTCCATCAAAATAGCTTTTCTCTCGGAATGAACACCAAAGCGAGGAATGGGAAGATGGGGATACCTACATTCACACATACCCACACACAATATAATTATAATATTATTGGGTTAGGGATTTTCTGTCTTCATTGTGAGTTGTATTGTGTTGGGAGCTCCACCAATCTCATTGTACATATGTTGTGCAGGAACAATAAAGGTTGTTGTTGTAATAACAATAACAATAATAATAACAACTTGGAACACAACACTCCAGAGTTTCACAGTTGTCGAAAACCAAAACGTACAATTTATTGACATAGTGGTACCAGGAGACGCCAAAGTTGAAGAAAAAGAACTGAAAAAAATCATGAAATATTACGACCTGACCATTGAAACTACACGGCTATGGATGAAACATGTAACAGTTATACTCATTGTCATTGGGGCACTTGGTACCATGTCCAAGGATTTTATAAGATACATCAACGAATTGCAGCTTCCTGCAATAACACCAGCGGAACTGCAAAAAACTGTGCTACTTGGAACATCGTACATCTTAAGAAGGTACTTGGTTGATACCTAGGACGCTGGCAGCAACCCGTATCGACCATTAACACCAGTCAGTGGTATTTATGATGCATTTTTGAATGTTCAGTTGACTGAGTTTCATATTTAATGAATAATAATAATAATAATAATAATAATAATAATAATAATAATAATAAATCAAATTGAAGATTAAATCTGCGCTTAAAACCAGAGGAAGCCACATTCGGGTTGCTACTGGAATGGAGAATTAACGTGGTATTGAAACGCCCCGCAGCTTAACCATTTGTAATTCACATTGCAAAACGCAATGCTTTTCCCTCGAGAGACGGGGAGGGGAAAGCGTAACCTGCTCCCAGGCATTAAGAAGGGATTCCTGGCGACCCTTTTCTACTTCGGTCAGCCCAGCGCAGCCACGCCAGGAGCTACTGGAGAGTCACTTACGGCGAGGGCTTCTCCGCTAAGAGGGGGGAAATCCGGCCGCTTCCGAGGCACCGGGCTCTCGTTCGTGTCCATCTGGGGCTCCCGGCGCCTCTTCCGCTTGAGGACCTTCGTGAAGCCTTCTTGGTGAGTTTGCGTTTCCATCTCAGTCGGCAGCCGCTCTTCGCCAGCGCTTTCCATCTCCACGCTTCGCCGGACCTATCTAGCACGATATCGACAGAAAGAGGCGGGGCTGCGTCTCGGGCCACGCAAGACAGCCGCTATAGAAGCCTTCCCCTTCCTCCAGTTCGCACTCTATGGTTGGAGGTCGCGCTCTATTTCCCCGTCCCTATACTGTAGAGAGAGAGAGAGAAAGAAAGACCGAAGGCCTAACCTTGGTCCTCTCGCGGCCTTGCCGGGCCGTTTCAGGTGGAAAGGTGGTGGTGCTGCGCAAAAAAAGGAGCACGGATCGCAACCCTCGGAATCTCTATGATCTAGTATCCCGGATGTGTGGCCCTTCCGTCGCCTACGCATGCGCAGAGGCGCTGAAGCGTGGTGGTGACGGGAGGGGGTGGGGGGAAAGGAAGGTGGTGGCGAGGATTCCGGCCCCGTCCGATGCCGTTGGGCTCAGGGGCGGGTTCTTGCCGTCATGTCGGCGGGAGGCTTGCTGGAGAAGCCGCAGATCATCGCTCATACACAACACAGCTTGAATTACACTGTCTTCGATTGCAAATGGGTGCCCTGCAGCGCTCGCCTCCTTTGCTTGGGCAATTTCCCGCGCGGCACCGGCGTCATTCAGCTCTACGAGCTGCAAGGCGGCCGCCTCATCCTCCTCCGCGAAGTAAGGAAGAGAACAAAGGCAGCAGCCCCGGTTCTCTCACAGGAGCAGCAAGAAGCCCATGAATACCAGCCTCGCTCCCAGCACCTTATACTTGCCAACCACGGTGTTAATTTTGCTTCTTTGCCCGGGCCTCGGAATACTTTCCTGGGCTTAAGTGGAAGCTCAACCGTGGATTCCCTTAGTTTTTTATTTTTCTCCGGCTAAGATCGAGGGCTGATATATTAGTTCCAATAGAAGAAGTTATGTGTAGCTCAGGGTTGAACTACCAAGTTCTTCTGCTCTCTGGGCTTGATTGTTTGCAGGCAGGCGTTTCATTACCCAACTAGGTAACAACATCAGAGCTAGTGAGTGTGGGGTTTGCTCCCTCTTTATGTACAATAGCATGCCCTGTTAGAGTTGGTGGGATGTGGTTTTCTCTGGTAGTTCCTATATAAGAATTTATTTTTGCTTTATTATTTGCCAAGTGTTAATCCCTGCATATGAATGCATTCTGGTCTTTTTGTTTCCTTTTTTGTTGTCTCTTAAATAGTATCTAAATGTGTCTATTTTTTTTTTTTTTGTACGTGTCTGATACTGATACAGAGACTTTTTAATGAGGTTTTACCATTTACCAAATGAAGTATTTTGGGATTGAGGTCTTGTGTGAATTACATATGTTTATTTCTATCACTCTTTGTGTACTGAGTAAAGATTGCCCTATGTTGGGTGCACCCACATTCATTTTCTTACAAGTAGGATGCCTGGAGTTTGCCTCCACTAGCATTTAATTGCAATGTAGCATTTGTACAGAGTCAGAAGCATGATGCAAATGCATGCACAAGGAAGAATAGGAAAATGGCTTAAAGATTATTGATCATTTCAGTATTAACCTTTTAATACTGGAAGGCTCAATTCCAATTAACAGAATACATACAACAGCCCCTTAGAATAAATAGTGAAGAAATATATATAGATAAGTTCTCAACTTAAAAGCATTAATTTAGTGACCGTTCAAAGTTATAATGGCATTGAAAAAGTGACCGTTTTCCATACTTATGACCATTGCAGCATCCCCATGGTCATGTGTTCAAAATTCGTATGCTTGGCAACTGGTTCATAGTTATGACAGTTGCATGTGATGTCATGTCATGTGATCCCCTTTTGCGACCTGACAAATTCAAGGGGAATCCAGATTCATTTAACAACCATATTAACTAATTTAACAGCAGATTGAACAACAGATTCACTTAACAACTGTGGCAGGAAAGATGGTAAAATGCAGGAAAACTCACTTAACAACTCTCTTGCTTAGCAACATAAGTTTTGGGGTCAATTTTGGCCATAAGTCCACAAGGACTATCTGTATTGGCATTAGTATCTTTTAGCTATGTCAGCACCCAGTATTTGGCAAAGCAGTATATTCAAGAGTCACACATGTTAAGAAATGAGTAATAAAGAATGCCACAGTGCTCACCATGGAAATAGGCATTAACTGTTCTTGTATACATAACACTTTACTGAACACAGTGCAGTTAATTACTGTAGCCATAGCAGTGCAAGCGATGCACCACCCATTGGTCTTAAAAAGCCTTGAGAAATAAAACCCTTTTCTATAGTACAGATTGACTTTGTAGACTACAAAATACGATAATTAAATCCTCACACGGGCAACACTTCATTTTTTGCTACTTCAGGGAAAATGAAATTAGGTTTTAGTATTACTTTCCAAAAAGAAGCATATTTAATCTATAAGAGTTTTTTTTAAATATGAATGGATCAGCATGAGTGGCATTGATGAATTGTTGGCAGAGAGTTGAAATGGGGTATCTCTACTTTGAAATGAAGTGTTCTTTAGAAGATCTACATCCTTTCCCTAAACTAGTGGATGGGCTAAATCAAGTACATTAGTATTTTAATGCAAAGTTCTGTTTGCAACTGAAGTGCGTGCAAAATATACTGGCTGTGAAGAAAAGTATGTGGAAAAGCACAGTATATTAGTATATATCTTATAGGAAATGTGGGGACAGGGATCTATATTTTTGTGGACTCTTTTTTTAAAAAAATCTACAAAAACATAATAAATGTAAGGTTGGGGAAAATAGAAATAGATGAAGTTGCCCATATGAAGTGGAATTGTAAAGACAAGCAACCGAGTACATAATTGCATGTTTTTACAGAAGCAGTTCATCTTGTTTCAAAAGTTATAGGAAAGAATAGCATCTTAACTTGATTTTCTGTAAAGAAATTGGATTTTATGGCTCTGGCAAACTTGAATGTTGGTCATTCAGAATTTAATGGTATCTTTCTGTGTATAAATTCACATAGATTAGTCCTGTTAAACACATGTATGATTTGTAAGGGATGTACAGGTAGTTCTCGATTTACTAGCACAAGCCCAAAATTTCCATTGCTAAGCAAGACAGTTGTTAAGTGAGATTTGCTTCATTTTACAACCTTTCTTGCCCCAATTATTAAGTGAACCATTGCAGTTGTTAAGTTAGTAACATGGTTGTTAAATGAATCTGGCTTCCCCATTGACTTTGTCAAAGTTGCAAAATGTGATCTCATGACCCTGATACATTGCAATCCATTATAAATACATGCCAGTTGCCAAGTATCCAAATTTTGATCACATGACCATAGGGATGCTGCAACGGTCGTAAGTATGAAAAGTCGTTGGAAGTCACTAAACAATTAGTTGTAAGTTGAAGACTTACCTATATTTAGAAACTTGAGATACGAATTGCAATTAAGAAATGACTTCACACTAAAAGGTGTGATTTACACTTTTTTTTTTTTACAAATTTAAGAGATTTAGTAATCTGTAAAAGCAAGCAGTATGCTCTGTTTCTCAAGAAATTGAATTTGAAATCCTGTTTATTTTTTCAACTATGGGAACTTGGATGGCAGCTTCTGATTTTTCTACTTCATGTCTATTTAGATTATGCGCTTAGATTATGCATCCAGATAGAACAAGGCTAACAATTTGTAGATACATTCAAAATAAATTGGAGAAAATAAAGGAGAAAGTGTATAGGAGAGGCAGTCTTTATGCCTTTGCAATGATAAGCACCTTTGATGTATTTGGAATTCTTCCCCAAAAAGCATGTATAGAATTGCAATCTTTATATTCCAAAATCTAATAAAGTCAAACTTGTTCATTCATTTGAACCCTAATGAAGCTTAAAAAATTGTGTTTAGTCGGTGTTTGACTCTAATATGATCTAACAGGTAGAACAAGACATAAATTGAAAATAACAATCATTCAATGTAAACATTTATCTCTACTTCCAGATTGAAAAATCACGACCTATTAAATGTGCAACCTTTGGGGCTGCTTCTTTGCAACAAAGATACTTAGCTACTGGAGATTTTGGTGGAAATTTAAATATATGGTAAGAAATATTCTTTTTGCACATTTTAAAGATATGGCCTTATCTTTTATAGGACAACTTAAAGTCATTGTAAAATCAGTATTGTTCACGGTCTTAAATATGCTTAATTTAGAAGTGTTAAAACTTTTTAGATAGCAATAAAACATTTACTTTGAAGAAGACTGAATTAATTTATTATCTTTTATGGTTTTCTTTTTCTGAATCTTCCAGCCTCAATTATAAAATATATTTTAAAGACCAGGTTAATTTTCAGACCAATCTGTGATGCAGTACAGATAGTCCTGATTTATGGTTGATCACTTAGCGATCATTCAAAATTGCAACCTACCTGCAAAAGGGGGCTATGACCGGGTTCTGAAGTTCTGACAGCTGCCTCTTGGTCCTCCCTATCATATGTCCATAGTTTGAGTCAGGGGTGGGTTCCACTTACCTTTACTACTGGTTCGCAGCGGGAGTGCGCGCTTCTGCGCATGCACAGAAGCTTCTGCGCATGCGCAGATCACCCATGATGATGTGGGTGGGCGGAGCCTCCCACCGGTTTTACTACCAGTTCTATAGAACCGGACTGAACTGGGAGCAACCCACCACTGCTTTGAGTGCTCCGTAGCATGGCTGGTTGGTGACATGACCAAACTGATTTATGACCGTTAGAACATGTGATTATAATGGGCAATTTATGATTTATGACCGTTGTAACGTGATTGTAATGGCCAGGCTCCATTATGGTCATATGTGAAGAACTATGTATAATAAATGTTTGTAAAAACATTTTTTTAAAACTTTGCATTGTAACTAAATTATAATTTTGTATCTTTCCATTTTACATCATAATCCATATTTTCTTTTGACTTCTGTCATGTTTTAAAGAAGAAAAAGCTTCATGTTAGTATTCAGTTTTCTGTGTAGTAAAGACAAATGAGTATACTGTATTCTGCAACTGATACTATCTTGCCATTGGTTCTCTCATCAGAAAATTTATAAATGGCACTAGTATCAATTTGATGATGTGCCATGTATAAATAGATGAGCCTAGTTTTTAGATTTACACAAAATAGTTCAGAAGCACTTTGAATCTTTTGTAGACATGTTTCTCTACTACTCAGTAAAAGCAATCTGTCTTTTTGAAAGTTTCTATACGATTCTTAAAAATGTGGTTACTTCAAGAATGATATTAACCTTAATAAATTGATTCCTTAAAGGAGTTGTATCATTTCTCTGAGCTTATGTAAAATTCTGAAACCCCCCCCCCCCCCCTGACTATT